AGAGATACCAAGATTTTTTTTTAATGCAGTTAAAAAATAAAAGGAAAAGGAAAGAAAATACAGTAGGCCAGGCACAGTGGCTCATGCCTGTAATCCCAGCATTTGGGGAGGCTGAGGCGAGTGGATCCTGTGAGGTCAGGAGTTCGAGTCCAGCCTGGCCAACATGGTGAAACTCTGTCTCTACTAAAAATACAAAAATTAGCTGGGCATGGTGGCACATGCCTGTAATCTCAGCTACTTGGGAGGTTCAGGTAGGAGAATTGCTTGAACTTAGGAGGTGGAGGTTGCAGTGACCGAGATTGTGCCATTGCACTCCAGCCTGGGCAACAAGAGTGAAATTCCATTTCAATAAAATAGCAAATACAGTAATGGAGGGATGCAAAATCCACATATATGCAGAGTCAACTGCAAGATGAGTGTGTGCAGGTTTTGGTATACTCCAGAGTTCTAGAACCAATTCCCCAAGTGTAACAAGAGCCAACTGCAGTGTCAGATGATAGGATTTAGGCACAGGCTCTCAAGAGACCTCCAGAGAAAGAGGAACTGTCACTCATCTCTTCATCAAGACACCTATCTGCACACTCAGGGCACAGGGACCTGTATGATGGGTCCTTGCCCTCAGGCGCTTACAGTCCTCTTGGGAAGACAGGACGTCAGTACCTAACAAGCAAATACAGACTGGCCCCAGACAGCATACACTAAAGGCTAAGTAAATGCTACAACAAACAGGGGCTGTCATGGTCTCTGACTGGGGGGAGGTCAAGGTGGACAGTGGTGATCAGCAGAGCTGCAGTGGTTTCATAAATAATGTGACCGCCTATTCCCATATGCCCAAGACAGCTCTACCTCAGACCTGTTTTCCCAACACAATTCTGACCAGTGCTTCCTTTAATGACACTCTGAAAAGTCCTAGTTTGGACAATAAATTATACAGTGACGCTAGTCATGAGGGCCACCTGCCATGAAGCCAAGGGCCTCGCATTTGAACACTTGACATTATCTCTGAATAACAACCAACACTTAAACAGTATGCATTATGTACTAAATACTTTAAGAGTTTTGCATATATGGCATGACTCTTTTTTTGTTTTGTTTTGAGATGGAGTCTCACTCTGTCACCAAGCTGGAGTGCCGTAGCATGATCTCAGCTCACTGCAACCGCCGCCTCCCTGGTTCAGGCGATTCTCCTACTTCAGCCTCCCCAGTAGCTGGGACTACAGGCATGTGCCACCACACCCAGCTAATTTTTGTATTTTTAGTAGAGACGGGGTTTCACTATGTTAGCCAGGATGGTCTCGATCCCTTGACTTCATGATCCACCCACCTTGGCCTCCCAAAGTGCTGGAATTACAGGCGTGAGCCACCTCCCCTGGCCATGACATGACTCTTGATTCTAGTTCCAACTCTGTGTGGTAAGTACTAGTATTATTTCCATTTTACCACTTCCATTTTGTTTTTCAGAAGAAGAAACTGAAAGATAGAGACATGTAACTTGCCTAGGATTTCACAGCTACAATCCTGGACAGAACCTGCATTCACACTAAGGCCCTCTGATGGAATTCATTCATAGACGTTTGCCCCAGAGTCCTGTCCACTAGTGGAAGCAAACCTTTCAAATATAACACAATGCTTGTAGCCCTTCTACCTTTCACTGTAATAGGAAACTGAAAATTTTTTTGAAAAGAAGATAATTTATTGACAGTGTTATATACCAATTGGAAAATAAGAATGAAAAATTAAATTTCTGCCAGGCACAGTGGGTCATGCCTATAAGCCCTGCACTTTGGAAAGGTGAGGTTAGTGGATCACTTGAGCCCATGAATTCAAGACCAGCCTAGGCAGCATGGCAAAACCCTGTCTCCACAAAAATTAAGTACAAAAATTAGCCAGCCATGGTGGCTGTGGTCCTAGCTACTTGGGAGGCTGAGGTGGATCACTTGAGCCCTGGAAGTTGAGGCTGTAGTGTGATCTCACCACTGCACTCTCTGGGTGACGGAGAACAGAGAACCTGACTCTTCAAAAGAAATTAAATTTATTCAACTTCCTCTCTAAAGTGCCACTCCAATATATATCAGTATATACTTTAATCTCAGAGTTTTTGGAGGCCAAGGAGGGAGGATCGCTTTAGGCCAGGAGTTCGAGACCAGCCTGGGCAACACAATAAGATCCTATCTCTACCAAAAATGTTAGCAGTTAGCCAGGCATGGTGGTGTGTGCCTGTGGTCCCAGCTACTTGGGATGCTGAGGCAAGAGGATTGAGCCCAGGATTTTGAGGCTGCAGTGAGCTATGATTGCACCACTGCACTCCAGCCTGGGTGACAGAGCAAGACCCTAGCTCATTCATTCATTCATAGATAAATAGATAGAATGAAAAATTAATCTTAATCCTAATCATGAAGAAGAGTTTGGCCTACAGTGTCCTGAAGTTTGGCCCCTAACTCCCAAGCAGCCCTTTCCCCACGCCCCTCATGTTCTAGACTTCTACAGCACTGGCCTTTTTTGGGTATTAGGTACCCTGCTCCCTCCCCACTCAGGACATGTGGCTCCTTTCCAGAAAACTCTTTCCCAGAAAACTTGATTGTAATCAAGTTAATTCTTACACTAGAGCTCAGCTAAATACACACTTCCTCAAAAAAAGGAAAAAAAGTTTCCCAGCTGGCCTCAGTGGCTCATGCCTATAACTCTAGCATTTTGGGAGACTGAGGCAGGAGGCCTGGGTAATACATAGAGAGAGATCTCATCTTAATTTTTTGTTAAAAAGTTTCCCTTGGCCAAGCACAGTGGCTCACACCTGTAATCCCAGCACTTTGGAAGGCGAGGTGGGCAGATCCGTTAAGGCTAGGAGTTGGAGACCAGCCTGGCCAACATGGTGAAACTCATCTCTACTAAAAATATAAAAATTAGCTTGTGTACAAAAATACAAAAGAATACAAAACTGCTTGTAATTCCAGCTACTCGAGAGGCTGAGGCAGGTGAATCACTTGAACCCGGGAAGTGGAGGCTGCAGTGAGCCGAGACTGCGCTGCTGCACTCCAGCCTGGATGCAAGAAGGAGACTCCGTCTCAAAAAAAAAAAAAAACGTTTCCCTTGATTCCATTGATTAGCTCAATTCTCCTTCTAAAATCCCTCATATTAAGTAGCATGTACCCCCCTACAGCAATTGAAATAGTTCCAACTTTGCATTTATTTGTATGATCAATATCCTTCCCTAATGTAAGTTCCAGAAGACCCAGACCCATGTCTGTTTTTGCTCACTATCTCAATGAGCACATAATAGGTAGCGACAGATATTTGTGGAAGAAACTGGCAAGCCATTGGCAAAAAAAAGAAATAACAAACACGGAGTTAATGACAACTATACCGTTCAAGCAAGTCTTCTGCCTCAGCCTCTCCAGTAGCTGGGATTATGGGCATGCACCACCATGCCCAGCTAATTTTTGTATTTTTAGTAGAGATGGGGTTTCACCATGTTGGCCAGGCTAGTCTTGAACTCCTGACCTTAAGTGATCCACCTGCCTCAGCCTCCCAAAGTGCTGGAATTACAGGCATGAGCTACCACACCCAGCCCGAGGATCACTTTTGAGGCCAGGAGTTTGAGACCAGCCTGGGTAACATAGGGAGGCCCTGTCTCTATTTAAATAAATGCTTTTTAAGTACTTAAGTCTTCAAACCTTGTTTTATTTTTATCCTCTAGTCAAACCAGTACCTGAATATAGAAAACATTACAGAAATGTTGTGACTATGCTATTTGTATTTTGAAATCCGAAATTTAAAAGAAAAGAAGTGTTCAAGTTTATCTCAGCCTGGGAGAGACTGTGTTTGTGTCAGATAAGACGAGGTGGGGTAGGACCGCCTTCCAGGGTTACCACGAGGAAGGTGATTCTGGGAGAATCTGAAATTTCAAGTAAACAGTTGTCGGTTGGGATCAAACTGTGCAGGTCCAAGAATGCCAGGCTAAGAAGCCAGGATATTTTATTTTCTGATAAAAAGAGGATGCTGTTTTGGCAAATTTCTACTCTGGAGTGAATATGGTGCACTAGATGGGAAGGAGAAGAAGAGAAACGGAAAGAGGAAAAGGTGAGTTGGAAGGACAGAGACGCCCCTTCTTTGGACTCCCCCCTCCCCCCACCGTTTCATGGACTCTCTCCCCTCAAAAACACAAGAACTTCTTGCCTCGTTCTCTTGTTTTCTGACATCACTGCAACCCTTGATTTTCTCATCCCTGGGATTCCTTAGCATCCTTTCAAAAGTAATGTTCCTGCAGGCTGAAGAATTTCTTTTTTTTTTTTTTTTGAGACGTAGTTTCGCTCTTGTTACCCAGGCTGGAGTGTAATGGCGCGATCTCGGCTCACCGCAACCTCCGCCTCCTGGGTTCAGGCAATTCTCCTGCCTCAGCCTCCCGAGTAGCTGGGATTACAGGCACGCGCCACCATGCCCAGCTAATTTTTTGTATTTTTAGTAGAGACGGGGTTTCACCATGTTGACCAGGATGGTGTCGATCTCTTGACCTCGTGATCCACCCGCCTCGGCCTCCCAAAGTGCTGGGATTACAGGCATGAGCCACCACGCCCGGCCAGGATGGAGAATTTCTAGTCCAGGCCAGGGAAACTCAGAACAGAAAACAGAAAAAAAAAAAAAGGCAGCTTCACAGGGCCTCATCTGGTCCAATTTCTTATCATCATGCATTTATTCACTCATAAATATCTTTTGAGCACCTACTATGTGTTGGATAAAATCAGGGTTAAAAATACAGTCGCTAGCGTCACAGCAAAAAAAGAACCCGAGGCCCAGAGAGGGACACTGACTTGCCCAAAGTCACACAGCTAAAACTCTGTGGCTGAACCGGGTCTCGAGCACAACTGGCGGACCAAAAGGAGCCCGTGGTCCAGCTGCAAAATGCTACAAAGCGACAGGGCCCGGCCGGTGCCGGGGCGTCCGAGGCGGCGCGGAGGCGGAGAGAGCGACTGCCGACTTTCCAACTGCTCGGGGAAGGCAGGGGCCAGTGCCCGTTGGCAGAGGGTATCCCTCCGCAGCCGCCGTAGCCCAGCCGGAAGCGCCGCCTGCCACGTCCACTGTGCAGCAGGGGCGGGGCTGGGACCCAGAAGCTCGGCATGGCTGACGACGCGGGTTTGCCGGCCCTTCTGTGCTCCGAGCAGTTCGGCTCCGGGGAGGCACGGGGCTGCCGTGCAGCCGCGGACGGGAGCCTGCAGTGGGAGGTCCGGGGCTGGCGCTGGTGGGGGCTCTCCAGGGCCTTCACGGTCAAACCCGAAGGACGAGATGCGGGTGAAGTGGGGGCTCCCGGTGCCGCCTCACCACCCCTCTCCGGGCTCCAAGCCGTGTTCCTGCCGCAGGGCTTCCCTGATAGCGTCAGCCCGGACTATCTGCCCTACCAGCTGTGGGATTCCGTCCAGGTCAGCCCGGCCGTCTGGGGCAGGGGACAGTGCAGGCCACCCTTCCCGCCCCAGTTACATACGGGTGACCGAGGCCCGGAGCCGGGGGCTCTGACAGGCCCCAAACACTGAGAACCAGAAAAGATGACGCCACGTGCACCGCCACGCTCCTGCGCCCGCTTCTCACCGTGCTCGTTATCTTCTCCAGGCCTTTGCTTCCAGCCTCTCCGGCTCCCTGGCCACCCATGCAGTCTTGCTGGGCATAGGGGTGGGGAACGCAAAAGCCACCGTCTCAGCTGCCACGGCCACCTGGCTCGTGAAAGGTGAGCTGGACCTCTGGAGCCTCACGTATTGCTGCTCTCAGCCCTGCCTTCGCTGGGCTCTGATGTGTGTGTATGTATGGTCTCATGCCCCATTAGGTAGAATTCAGGCAGGTCCCCCCCAGTGCTTACATAGGTGCTTTGTAACCCAATCTTACCGCCCACATCTGGAAGACCCTCATCCCACTCACCAGCCCAGCAGCCACACTCCATTCTCCACACAGACTTTTGAGTCTAAATCATCTGGATCCTAAATCCTGTCCCCTCCCCTTTATTCCTATTCTCTGTGGAGGATTGCATGAGAATGCGATTGATTGAATAAACTGCCAGCTGCCCAGGATAGGGAAAATTGGTGAGCTCCAGGAAAAAAAAAAAAAAACATATCCTTGGTCCTGAGTAGGAGAGGAGAGACTGGAAAGAATGGAAGGTATTCTGTAATGCCCTGTGATATCAGATGATGCTGTAAATAATAGAGGGACTAGCTGCTGAGTGCATACAGCTTTTTAAAAAATTGTTTAAGAAAAAAAAAAGATACAGTTTGGTACCATGCCACCCAGACAGGGAAATAGAACAGAAAAGAGAAGTTGTTTCACGTTGTACAGGAGGGGGCCCCATGGCTTTTGCCACTATCCTTTGTCTTTCACTATTGCTCCCAGGGGATATTTATTAGGCTAGTGCAAAAGTAATTGCAGTGTTTCTTTGTTGTTGCTGCCATTAAAGGTAATGGAAAACCCACAATGACATTTGCACCAACCTAATAAATGAGACCCAAGGGAAAGCTCATTCCACTGGTAGCATCAGTCTGGCCACTTCTCTGGTAAGCCTCTCTGGATTTTTTGGAGAAACAGGAACCTCCTTTACCATTAAGACTGAGCACACTGGCACAGTGGCTCACCCTTTTAAGCCCAGCACTTTGGGAGGCTGAGGCAGCCTGGGCAACAGGGAGACCCCTCCTTGACTTTTTTTTTTTTTTCTTTTTTGACTGGGAGTCTCGCTCTGTCACCCAGGCTGGAATGCAGGAGTGCACTGGCACAATCCCCGCCCACTGAAGCCTCCACCTCCTGGGTTCAAGTGATTCTTCTGCCCCAGCCTCTCAAATAGCTGGGATTACAAGTATGCACCACCATGCCCCGCTAACTTTTTTGTATTTTTAGTAGAGACAGGGTTTCACCATGTTGGCCATGCTGGTCTCGAACTCCTGACCCCAGGTGATCCGCCTGCCTCAGCTTCCCAAAGTGACTGGCATGAGCCACCGCACCCAGCCTGTTGGCTGTATTTTTGGAATGCATTTGGAGCTTGGGTCAGTAATTGGTGTTTTCATGTGATATCACCAACATGTTGCCTATACAGGTTGAATATCCCTTATGGGAAATGCTTGTAATCAGAAGTGTTTTGGATTTCGGAATTTTGTTTGGATTTGGGAATATTTTCATATATAGTGAGATTTGTTGGGGATGGGACTGAAGTCTAGATATGAAATTCGTTTATGTTTCATATATGCCTTACACACATGGCTTAAAGGCAGTTTTATGCAATGTTTTCAGTAGTGTGCATGAAACAAAATTTGTGTGCATTGATCCATCAGAAAGCAAAGATGTCACTATCTCAGCCACACATGTGGACAATCTGGTTGTTTGGTGTCCCTGTCATTCCTGACTCTGAATGTAGATGCTATCAAGAAGCAGTCCTTTTCTTATACCTTCACGAATAAGTACTTAACGGTATAAAACATGACATACCACTTGACAATGAGAAATTGTATGTTCAGGGTAATTAAGCAACACAGCAGGTCACCAGAACACCTGTATCAGCTTCTAAACCACAGCAGCAGCAACAAACAGTAGCAGGCTCTCAGCCTTCAGCTACAGTGCTGTTTTGATGAAAAGGTTACTGGACACCATATTTATTTTTTTAAGGTGAGAAGAAATACCTTCTCACCTTAAAAAAGCAGTTGAAGGACAGGAAACATCCTCTAGGGATGAGGAAGCATTCTGCTGTGTGCCTTTTTAAAATGTTTCCTCCAGAGTCATCTGCTTCATAACCATGGTTTCTGTCTTAGAAGTCTTTCTTGGATTCTGTAAACTGCCTGATTTCTTGTTCTGTTATGAATGTAGGCTGCTCTAGGGCCTCAATAATCCCCTCAATATCCTCACCATGTTGTCTGTAGGCACTTTTTCTGCAGTGTTAACGACGTCATCTTCATTGTCACTGTTACCACGATTGCCTTGATTCAGAACAATTTGTGCTATTTCACCATCAGCTGTTTCTACTGGTGGCATCATGTCTGCTGTCCAAAAGCTGCAGGTTTTGGAGCATTTCAGATTTTAGGTGTTTGGATTAGGAATGCTCAACCTTGTACTGGGCGAAGTGGGTCATGCCTGTAATCCCAGCACTTTGGGGGGCAAAGGTGGGGGTACCAGTTGAGGTCAGCAGTTCAAGACCAGCCTGCCCAACATGGTAAAACCCCATCTCTACTAAAAATACAAAAATGAGCCAGGCATGGTGGTGTGTGCCTGTAATCCCAGCTTCTAGGGAAGTTGAGGCAGGAAAATCACTTGAACCCAGGAGGTGGAGGTTGTAGTGAACCGAGATAGCACCACTGCACTCCAGCCTGGGCCACAGAACAATACCCTGTGTGGAAAAAAAGAGGAATGCTCAACCTCTAGCTCAGGCAGGTTACTGAGAAAAATTAAGATCACTTAAAGATACAGGTGCGGTAGCTCACATCTATAATCTCAGCACTTTGAGAGGCTGAGGCAGGTGGATCACTTGAGATGCGGAGTTGTACACCAGCCTGGCCAACATGGTTTAACCCTGTCTCTAACAAAAAATACAAAAATTGGCCAGCTGTGGTAGTAGGTGCCTATAGTCCAGCCTGGATGACAGAATGAGATCCTGTCTCAAAAAAAAGAAAGGATTTTTTAAAATCTTTAAAGACTTCTTATTGATATTAAAAGAAGCTCTCGATTAGGATTTTACAAGTTCGTTTTCATCAAATTTTTATTCAGAGCTTCATCAAACAAATTTTTATGCAGAGCTTCATATGAGAAACTCAGTTGGAATTTTTTTGATGTGATCATTTTCAGTTACAAAACTCTCAGTGGAACATGGAGCTAATTGTCATGAGTAGCAATAGTAATAAAACTTGTTGCTAATATTTTGGCGACCTACCTTAAGCCACACATTTTGTACAGTTACATGTAATATGTGGCTTGATCTCTTCAGCAGCCATATTAGTTAGTTGCCATTATTCATTTTTTCAGATGGAAAAACAGAGGCCAAAGTGGTTAAGTAATTGTCCAAGGTCACTTAGGGCCAGGGTTTTGACCCAGGCAGACTTACTCCTGTGTCCCATTCTTAACTACCACACTCTTACCAGCTAGGATTTTCAAGTGGAGCCAAGTACAATTTGTGGACAGCTGATTCCTTACTAGGACTCTAGTGGACAGTATTGACTTTCAGATTATAGGGAGTATATATATCATTAGTCCTGTAAATGCCTCTGATGATCCATAGAAAGGTAGAACAGGCTGTCTTTCTGCCTGGTGGCCCAAGGAGGACATACACCTGAGTGGATACAAGTGTGTAGCCAAAGGGAAGAAAAGTAGAATCTGGGCTGGGTATAGTGGCTGATGCCTATAATCCTAACACTTTGGGAGGTTGAGGCAGGCGGATCACCTGAGGTCAGGAGTTCAAAAATATAAAAATTAGCCCCATTTCTACTAAAAATACAAAAATTAGCTCTGTCTCTACTAAAAATACAAAATTAGGTGTGGCATGCACCTGTAATCCCAGGTACTCGGGAGGCAGAGTCAGGAGAATCGCTTGGACCCAGGAGTTGGAGGTTACAGTGAACCAAGATCATGCCACCACACTCCAGCCTGGGCCACCGAGTGAGACTCTGTCTCAAAAAAAAAGAGTCTGGCCCAGTGGATTCCTTCTCAACAGGTAAAAGTAATCTTGCCATGTTCACAGTCACTAAGTTGATCCAATGCCAGAATCTTGAATGGTACAATGATCATTTTACCTAGAATATAATGTACTTGAAGAGAAGAGGTTAAGGTGAGTGATGGGAGGCCTGTCAAACCACCCTATTGGGTGTTATTTACAGGGCCAGATAGGACAGAAATGGAGAAATGAAGCAGGCCAGATAGGAGTAGTTTGGACCCATGGTCTCCTTCAGTGAGGTGGCCCCAGCTGATGCTGGCCGTGAGAAAAGGCGGGCCAGTGTGGCCATCCTTCAGGTTCTTCCAAAGAAGGTGGAAATCCATATTTTCTTATAAAATGTCCCAATTTTGTTCACCAATCTAATCGGAGCCTCAGTGAAGGGGAACGATCCTACAAAGGTCGCAGGATCACTGTGAAGGTGAAAAGGCACAGGTTCTTCACGTGTGCACTGGAGCACTTAGTGGTCTCAAGTCCAGGGTGGGGTTCGAAGGCCTCAGTGTCCAAGAAGGCTCTGGAAAGGGGAGAGTGCATCTGCTCTCAGTGGTGAATGGGAGGGCTGGTCCGTGTCATTGCATTTATATTTTGTGGGAAGCTCCCAGCCCTCATTCCCATAACATAGTGTCCTTTCTCCTTAATCCCCACGTCAGGGTTAGTGCCCTCAAGGTCAGACAAGTCCAAGTCCTCTGCTCGCAGCTATCCTTGCCTGTGCCCACTGTGTGAGTCCCTCCCAGGTGTCTGATTCTAAAACATTACTGCCAGGCTTAATGGGTGCTACTCTGTATAACGAATGGTCCAGATTCCCAAACTTGTTCTGTAAAGGGCCAGATCTTATGCTTTGCAGGCCTTATGATCTTAGTTGCAGCAACTCAGTTCTGCCGTAGTCTTACAAAAACAGCCATAGACAATTTGTAAACAAATGGGCATGGCTGCATTTCAGTAAAACTTGATTTCCAAAACCGGGGAACGGAAACAGTTTGCCAATCCCTGGTCTAAATCAGTGGGGTTTTTTGCTTTGTTTGTTTTTCTGAGATGGAGTTTCACTGAGTATTGCCCAGGCTGGAGTACAATGGGGTGATCTCGGCTTACCACAATCTCCACCTCCTGGGTTCAAGCAGTTCTCCTGCCTCAGCCTCCCAAGTAGCTGGGATTACAGACATGCGCCACCACACCTGGCTAATTTTGTATTTTTAGTAGAGACAGGGTTTCTCCATGTTGGTCAGGCTGGTCTCAAACTCCCAACCTCAGGTGATCCACCTGGCCTAAGTCAGTATATGTTATGATGATTGCTGTCTGCTCTTCAGCTGGATTTTGAGCCTGGAATCATCTCAGTCACTGCGGTCATGAAGTTCCTGGCAGAGAGAGTTAGGTAGCCAGAAAGCTTTTGTTGTGCAAATGAAGGTCCAAGGTCCCACTGATTCCAGAGACTTCTCTTACTCTGCCCAGCCTAAGGAGGCCTGTCCCTCTGCCCTGCAACCCCAGCTGTAGTTCAAACTTTTTTTTTTTTTTCTTAGAGTGTCTTGCTCTGAGACTGTCTTACTCCAGGCTGTCTTGCTCCAGTGCAGTGGCGTGATCATAGCTTACTGCAGCGTTGATATACTGAGTTCAAACCATTCTTCCGCCCCAGCCTCCCAAGTAGCTGGGACTACAGGCATGCTACCATGCCTGGCTGATTTCTTTCCTACTTTTTGTCTTGCTGTGTTGCCCAGGCTGGTCTTGAGTGCCCAAAGACCACTTGAACTCCTGGCCTCAAGTGGTCCTTGGGCCTAAATCCCCTGTAATCCCAAAGTGCTGGGATTATAGGCCTGAGCCACCATACCTGGTCCAAATCCTTTCATTTATTTATCTCATAAGGACCACCTGTGAGCCAGCTGCCCAGGCTAAGAGCTAGGATAGGTTAGCAATAACCTTTGAATTTCCACTTAAGATTTTCTGTCTTTTGAATAGTTTTATCAAATAGGTAAATGTTCCTAAGTGCTATGTCATTTAGTTTTAGTTTTAGAGCTTTATCAACTGTGCTGTGTGTGGTCTTCATGAGTTATTTTCATGTAAGAGTTTATTATGAGTATTCATCTATGAATGAGTGTCTCTAGGTAGATATATTAGAATTTCTTTATTCTGTAACATTTGCATTATTCCCACTTTTTTTGCCTTTATGAACAATTCTGCAAAGAACGTTTCTTGTCCATGTCTACTTGAGGAACTGCTATGTCTAGGCACTTCTGACTCCATCATGCAGCTGTGACTATCCACAGCTTCTAGTACCAGACTGAGTTCCTAAGGGCAGTGACTCAGGGTAAATTGGCCAATTCAGTGCCAGGGTCTGCCAGGCTCCACTGCTCCTATGCCTCTTCCTTGCTCCTTACCTTTGCCTTCTTTCCCCCAGATTCAACTGGCATGCTAGGCCGCATCATCTTTGCCTGGTGGAAAGGGTGAGTGTCTTCCCGGCCAGCAGACTTCTGGCACCTCTCCCCAGTGGTGGTAGTAATGATAGCAATATTATTGGCATTAATTGTAGTTGTAAGGGTTCCATGAGGTGATCTATGCAAAGTGCTTAATGCATGTAGCATTATGCATAGTAAGGGCTCAGTAAATACCAGCCACCATTAAGAGCTGTAACTGTGCCCCCGAGCCTCTGTATGTTGTCTGTAATCCTTACAGCAACTCTGTAGGATGGGATTGGACATGTACATTCCATAAATGTGAAATATACCTAGATGAGAGAAGCTACCTGCCCAGGCCATACACCTTGTAACTAGTGAGATGGGATTTGAGCCTAAGGCCTATGCTTTCCATGGTATCCAGCGGTTCAGGATCTCCTCCTGTGTGTCACATGCCCTCCCCCAAGAATGTTCCCATTCCCTCCAGGAGATCTCAAACTGAGACTCGGGCCTAATGCTACAAATCCTGAGCTGAGCTGGGGCTGCAGTATCTCCTGCCAATGGGACCCTAGAGAAGTGGTTCCCAAGTGTTTGTGCACAGGCCAGAGAGTCACTGTCCGATGAAAAGGTCAGGGGAGGCAGCCATCCACGGTGTTGTGTAGCAGAAATACCCTAAGCCTGGATGTCAAAGCCCAGCTCTCTCTCTTGGATTTTTCCCCCCACTTTGTGTAATCCAGGGAAATCATTTCCCCTGTGAGGGCTAGTTGTCTGTAACATGCAGGGTTACACACTAAACGCAGTGTTTACTAGTCCAAAATATGCTCACTGTGTACCCTCACTCTAAAGCAAGAAGAAGAACGGGGACAGGCAGAGGAACCCAGGAAGAGCCTCCCTCCAAGGATAGCCAGAGGTTGGGGAGCAGCCACAAGTCAGGATTTTTCCTTGGTAAATCATGGGTTCATAAGAGGGAGACAATAGCTGATCAATGAGTCACTGAAGGTCCTCCCAGCTATTGATGGCATTTTAGGTAGCAGTGACAGGGTGTGGGGACAGATGTCTATCTGGGGGGTGTGGGTTTTTCTGAGCCCTTCAGACCTTACTGTGGTCCAGGACTCCCCACACTGCCCATAGGATGTTTCTCCTTAAATCCAAATTGCGACAACCTCTCCTTCCCAACAGGAGCAAACTGGACTGCAATGCCAAGCAGTGGAGGTGAGGAGGGACAGGCACGGGGGAGGAGAGTCTTCTATTATGAAAGTGTCCTACCTCTGACCTCTAACCTTTAACCTCTGATCCCTCCCCAGGCTCTTTGCAGACATCCTCAATGACGTGGCCATGTTCCTTGAGATTATGGCTCCCGTATACCCAATCTGTTTCACCATGACTGTCTCCACCAGCAACCTGGCCAAGGTAGCCACCTCTGGGGCATCCGTCTGCCCAAGACACCTGCCTTGGTAGTGTGTGGGTTCACCTGGGCTCTGTGTTCAAGCCACTTGTAGAAGAGTGACAAAGTTCAGATGTTTCTACTTGAACCCAACCATCTTTTCTGATCCTCCTCCAGCCAGACAGCGTCCAGGGCCCCAGACAGTGTAAAGCAATGTCTAGAGCCAGAGGACTGGGGCAGGAGCTCCAAGCTGAGAAGTGGAAGGGATGGTCCAGTGTTGACATTTTGGGACCAGCTTTCTCAACTTCCCTTTGGTTCTTTCAGTACAGTATTTATTGAGTGCCTACTGCTTGTTTGGCACAGAATGTGGGCCCCCCCTGGCTTGGAAAGGAAACCACACATAATTGCACCAGTGTTTGTGAAGTTATAGGTACAGCTATTACAAATGATAAATATAGAGGCCTGCAAGAGGGGGAAGCGGGGATTCCAGCTTGGTCAGAGAGGGTAGGAAGAGCTCCCGCGAGCCTGGGTCCTGAAGAGGGAGTGTAAGGTGTAGGGGGGTGTTCCAGGCAAAAGAAACAGCACAGCTCCAGGTCCAGAGGTGGGACAGAGACAGACCACCGACCACACAGTGAGCTGGGGGCACATGGGGCGCAGGCACACGCTTCCTCCACGCCAGGCTGCTGTCTGCACAACCCTTGCAGGTTGTTCTCATCCAGATGAGGACACTCAGGCCTGGCGTGGTTCAGTAAAGAGCATATCCTGTCAAAGTACCTGGCCCAGAAGAGAGACTCAAGAAGATGAAGACCCGTTCCAAGTCCCATCTGTTGACTTAAAAATCACATTAGGGGTGTGTTTCTTTGCAAGGCACTGGCATTTGGGGTGCAGTGGTTCCTTGTGGCGGAGGATATTTAGCTTCCATGGTACAGGCCTAAATGCTGTGAGCACCCCCAAACAGGGTAGGAAACCCCAGAGAAAAGCATAGCTGTAGCTGTGGCTGTGGACCAAGGGTTGTGCCCTCTGGCTTTTGCTTCAAATTCTGCCTTTTGGGCCTCAGTCTCTTCATCTGTCCAGTAAGGGAATGGAACAGGCCAGGAAATTCTCTCTTAAGATCTCTCTGTAGAGTTACCCTTTCTGTAGAGTTAGCCTCCGTTCCCAGCTGCACCAAGAGAAGCCAACCTAGCTGTCATCCATGCTGCCGCCACCATCACTGCCACCTCCTCTTCCCCTTTCCCCTTACCTGTCACCTTCAGCTGAACCTTCAGTTCTGTTATTTTTCCCCCCTCAAAATCTCTGGTCCATTCTCTGTGTCCCTATCACCACCCCTCGCTGCTGAGAGAGCACCATTACTTCCCAGGTAGCCTCCCTGCCCTTACCCTCTCAGAGTAGCCCAGGGATCCTTTCAAAGACGAAAGTCATCAGGTCACTCTGCTGCCCCGCTGCTCTTAGGAAAAGACCTTCACCCGGCTTGCCAGGTTCTGCGTGGTCAGGCCCCTGCCAGCCACAAAGTGCCAGCCTCACTTTGTCCCTTGTTCCTCTGGCCTTTGAACAGACTGTTTCCTCTCCCTGTATATTAACTTGTTTATTTGTGTATTGCCTACTGATCTTTACCTTCCATGAGGGTAGGGCCTGGGTCTGACTTGTATCACAGCACCTAAGTCTATGTCTAGCATCTAAAAGAGCCTTCAGCCAGGGGTGGTGGCTCACGCCTGTAATCCCAGCACTTTGGGAAGCTGGTGTGGGAAGATCTCTTGAGCTCAGGAGTTCTAGGCCAGCCTGGGTAACACAGGGAGACTCTGTCTCTATTCAAAAACTAAGGATAAATGAAAGTAATAGTAATAAGTAAAAGAGCTTTGATGAACTCGGGATGAATGCCAGTGACCAGTGACCCTCCTTGATGAGCTATATCCTGCGATCTAAGAGGGAGAGATCTGGGCGCCCTGGGAGGTCAGGGCCACCAGCGCAGGATTTGACAGCTTTAACTGGGGCAAGAGGAGAGTGGAGGAATTAAAGGAGGCAGATGGAAGCAGGAAGTCGGAAACCAGCCTGGGCCTCCCGCCAGCAGTGGGGAAGGTGTAGCCAAAGCAGGAGTTGGAGGGCCAGGAGTTCTGGGCTGAGAGTGATCTTTGGGCCTCCACCCTAGGGAAGGAAATTGAGATGCTGTCGGGCTAGTCCCCAGAGTGGTAGTGGCAGGTAAGACTCATTTCCTAGAACAGGACAGGGGAGGTGAGCCTAGGGGGAGTCCAGGTAAGAACTAGATACCAAGGATGGCATTCGGGGTTTGGCCAGGGCCTGGTTTTCTCCAGCTGGTCTAAGTGCCTGTGTTGCCAGGGCACGTGTCTGTGCCGACCTTCTCTCATCCCTTCCCCACCCAGTGCATTGTGAGTGTCGCTGGCGGGGCCACTCGAGCTGCCCTGACTGTGCACCAGGCCCGGAGGAACAACATGGCTGACGTGTCAGCAAAGGACAGCAGCCAGGTGAGCAGCAGGGCTGGAGAGAGGTCGTGGGGTAGGGAGGGGCGTGCCCCGGAGGGCCCAGGAACACACAGGAAGACATGCAGGTGCTCCCTGCTGACTCTCAAGACACACAGCCAGGAGTAGGGGTTTGGGCTATGGTGGCAGCAAGTCTGAGCTGATCTCAGTCTCTGCCCACCACCTGTGTAGTTGAGAGCAAGCCCTTGGCCTTGCCCTCTCTAGACCCCACCTTGCAAGCTGGATATTCTTATCACATGAAGCCCCACATGTCAAGGCAATTGGAAAGTCAGAGGCACCCAGCACGTGGGGTTGCTGGGTCACTGGCTGGGTCCTCCACTCAGCAGGTTAGCATGCCTGCTGGCCCAGCCCCTCCACCCGCCCCAGGGAGCCTGGAGTCAGGGTAGAGACACCCCTAAGGCTGAACCCTGCATGGATTAGACCTCTGCAAACCCTGTGCTGAGCACTTAAATGCACTGCATCACCTAACTCTCATGCCTGTCATCCTAGCACTTTGGGAGGCCAAGGTGGGAGAATCACTTGAGGCCAGGAGTTTGAAACCAGTCTGAGCAACCCATCAAGACCCCATCTCTACAAAATATATGAAAGAAACATTAGCCAGGTGTGGGGGTGCACACCTGTAGTCCCAGCCTCAAGCCCAGGAGGTGGAGGCTGCATGAGCCTTGATCATGCCACTGCACACCAGCTCAGGTGACAGAACAAGACCCTGTCTCAAAAACAAACTCTCACACCAACCCCGTGAGGTAGGTACCACTTTATCCTGGGTTTACAGATGAGGAAATGAAGGCCCAGGGAAGTCCCAGCAGTGTGAGATGGTTTTCTTTGACACTGAAGCAACTTAGAAACTGCTGTTTTATGCATTCTTACTTTCTGGTCTTCTCTTCCACTGTTTGGCTTATAATAATCTTAACCCAAGCTAATATTTATTAAGTACTAACCATGTGCCAAGTGTTTTATTTCTGGGAACTCATTAATTCTCACAGTGAGTGTGAGCAGTAAATGCTCACGGTTGCCTTAGAACAGAAAAGGAAATAAAGTGTGGAGAGGTCCCGTCACCCTGGGAATCGCTGGGCAAGTCCCTTCTCTCAGGAGACGCTCAGGCTCATTCTGCCCACTGTCCCTTCCAGACCTAAGTCCACAGGCTGTTAAAGAGCAGGAAGGAAGCACAGCCCAGGCCCCTCAACACAGGACTCCCAGCTCCATGCCTGCTGTCCCTCACCTGCTCTCTCGCTGGCCCCCAGCCCTCTCCCTAACCCCAAGCCATTTTTCCCAAGGCCACGGGGCTTCCTCAGTCCACAGAGCCAGTGACGTATCCAGGACTAACCTGGGAACATGTCAGTCCTGTAGCAGCCCCCAGCTTTCTGCTGATTCAGCTTTGCTGTCACTGGATATGGCCACTGGAAATGATTCTTCCCACCTGGGAGAGAGGTCACTCTGCTCCTGAGCTCCTAAGGTCCCTGATCTCCAGTTTCCTGCCACACCCATAGCTTTTATTTCCACAGCACACGCCCTTGCCAGTAGGGCTGGGTGAGAAGAGCTCTCCAGCCTCAGTCCTCTCTGTGCCAGGACCAGCTCTCCCTAGGAGCCCAGTCAGGGATACCAGTCCAGACTCCTCCCTCATGATGAGTTGCGGGCAGGTAGCCTGGGGTCTCTTCCCCTAGGGTGACCTCAATCCAGCCATCAGAGTGTTCTCATCACATTGATACGCAAGGGAAGAGGTGTGGGTCTTGTTCCTTCCCGGGTGATTTCTTGACCCCTTTGCAAATTTATCTGCCCCTTATTGTGTACCAAGGGAGCTTCAAGGGAGGGGAGCAGTCAGCTTTTTAAATATTAAATAAAAGTTCTTCTGGCTCATGCCTTTCATCCCAGCACTTCGGGAAGCTGAGCAGAGGAACGCTTGAGCCCAGGAGTTTCAAGATCAGCCTGAGCCATATAGCAAGACCCATCTGAACCAAAAATTGTAGTAATAATTAGTGGAGGTGTGATGGCAGGATCACTTGAGCTCGGGAGTTTGAGGTGGCCATGAGCTGTGATTGTACCACTGTACTCCAGCCTGGGTGACAGAGTGAGACCCTATCTCTTTAAAAAAAAAAAAAAAAGTACTCAACGTTAGTGAGTGCCTGAGTGTGGAACTATTATGGTGACTTACAAAACAAAGAAGACATGTTCAAGGGTATTCCAAGGACACTGTACTTACCAGGGCAAAGAAGCAACTGACACACAGAGATATTTAGACAGGGTCTCACTGTGTCTCTCAGCCTGGAGCACAGGGTTGCAATCATGGCTTACTACAGCCTTGACCTCTTGGGCTAAAACAATCCTCCTGGCTCACCCTCCTGAGTAGCTGGGAATACAGGCACATGCCATCACAACCAGCTAGATTTTTTGTATTTTGAAGAGTTGGAGTCTTACTATGTCACCCAGGCTGGCCTTGACCTCCCGAGCTCAAGCAGTTTTCCTGCCTCAGCCTCTTGAGTAGGTGGGACTACAGGTGCACACCACTATACCTGGCTAATTTTTAAATTTTTTTTTTTCTTCTTTGGAGATGAGTCTTGCTCTGTTGTCCCGCCTGGAGTGAAGTGGTGTGATCTCTGCTCACTGCAACTTCTACCTCCTGGGTTCAAGCAATTCTCCTACCTCAGCCTCCTGCGTAGCTGGGAATACAGGAGTGTGCCACCCACCATACCTGGCTATTTTTTTGTGTTTTAATAGAGACAGGGTCTCACCATGTTCAGCCTAGGCTGGTCTTGAACTCCTGAGCTCAGGCAATCTGCCCACCTCAGCCTCCAAAATTGCTAGTATTACAGGCGTGCGCCACTGCACCCCATCAAATTTTCAAATTTTTTTGTAGAGAGAAAAATTTTTAAATTTTTTCCCACTACGTTGTTCAGGCTGGTCTTACTCCTGGACTCAAGTGATCTGCCTGCCTCAGCCTCCCAAAGTGCTGGTACTACAGCTATGAGTCACCTCAAGCTGGCAAATGACAGTTCACTCCAAAAACTAAAAATTTACCCCCAATTCACTAGGGAGCCCTGGGAGGTTGTGGAGCAGGGAGGATGGGGTAAAAGGCACTTAGGGGTACTCAGTCTGGCCTGGAGGGCACCCTCCAACTCCTAGCCCCTCTGCCATTTTCCAGGAGACGCTGGTGAACCTGGCGGGGCTCCTGGTCAGCCTCCTGATGCTCCCTCTCGTGTCAGGTTTCCCTGGGTAAGCTGGGAGCAGGGTGGGCAGGAGAGCCCCAGCTGGGCCTCTGCCCGCCTCGGCTACCTCACTCTCTTGCCCCAGCTTCAGCTTCGGATGTTTCTTCTTCCTCACTGCCCTCCACATCTACGCGAACTATCGTGCAGTCCGAGCCCTGGTCATGGAGACCTTGAACGAAGGCCGGCTCCGGCTGGTCCTAAAGCACTACCTTCAGAGGGGAGAGGTGCTCGACCCCACCACAGCCAACCGCATGGAGCCATTGTGGACAGGTGACCCCACCCCTGGTCTCGAGTCCTGTGTCTCAGCCTCTCCCACTGCCTAGGCGTCCTGACCCCAGCTTCCCACAGGTTTTTGGCCAACTCCGTCTCTATCCCTGGGGGTCCCCCTACACCGCTTGGTCTCCAGGTGAGTGGCCTGGCATCTCCCACTCATCACCACCGCCACCCACGCTCCCAAACATGCCCCTCACTCCGGATACACACTGGCCTCCCTGGCAAGGCCCTGCCTCTCTGCTGGGTGGTTCATTGCTGCTGAACAGACGTGGGGTCATTGCGGGTGTGTGAGGGAGGAAAGGGTATAAAACATGAAGCAGATGTAAGGGATGTGTTTGGCAGGTGAGGGAAGGATGGGCAGATGGGGAGGATGGACATGACTGCATACAGGAAGAAAGGATGGATTTGGGGGTATGGGTAAGGCTGAGGGAGAGAGGAAGTGATGGGACCTGGGTGAAGCATAGATCATTTTGGTTCACCATGGGTGGCCATTCAGTGGCTTGATGGGCACGCGTGCCTTTGCTGTCCTCCGCCCCCACTGCACTCTCCTCTCCCCTCAGTGTCTTTGAGCTGCAGCAGCTGGTTGAGGGGCACCAAGAACCCTACCTCCTCTGCTGGGACCAGTCACGAAGTGAGTGTGCCTTGTTCTCCCAGCCTAAGACGCACCCTCCTGGATCAGCCTCTCCTCCAACCCAGGGCCCCAAGTGCTGTGCAGTTTGGAGACTGCCTGTTCTGGGGCTGCTCTAGATCATTCATATTACAGCCACAATGCCCCAGTGAGATTCACTTCACCCCCTCTGTAAAATGGAGCTAACAGTACCTGCCTTATTCCCTGCATTGTTTTTATGAGGGTCAAATAATGTGACTGTCAAGTGCCTTATACATTGCAGCACTCTTAATAAGACTGTGATCTTTGCTGTCCGTGGGAAACCACCCTTCTCTCCCATCCTGGGTTGCCTCTTGGGTAAACATGTCCTTGAGTGTACTGGTCTGCTGGTTGAGTGTGAAAAGGCGTTTATTCTCACTAGCCATTAAAGAAATGCAAAATAGATCCAGCTCAGTGAGCTGCTGTGAAGTTGTATTTGGAAATTGGTCAGTTTGGCCTGAGCACTGGGGAGCAACAGGAAATGAATTGGAAAGGAAAGGTGAGGGGCTGGCCTTCCATGCCAGGCCAGGGTCTCTGGGAAGAGACCGGGGAAGCAGGATGATGGGATCAAGGGGATTTGGGAGGTGGCCCTTCCCTGACACCAGTCCATCCCTGGTCTCCAGACCAGGTACAGGTAGTTCTGAACCAGAAGGCAGACCCCAAGACCGTCCTAAGGGCCGCCACACATGGGCTGATGCTTGGGGCCCTGCAGGGAGATGGACCCCTTCCAGCAGAACTGGAGGAGCTGAGGAACCATGTGCAGGCGGGTAAGTGCCTCACGATCCAGACTGCTGATGCCTTAGGGTGGGGAGGAGAGAGGACAGGCTCTGTCATGCTGGAGGACACAGAGCTTCTGGTTCTGCACCCCCATTCCCAGGTCCTAAGAAAGAGACCTGGGTCATCGTCAAGGAGACGCACCAAGTGTTGGACATGCTGTTCCCAAAGTTCTTGAAAGGTAACATTCCTGAGCTCATGGCTGCTTGGCCCCTGAAGCCTTGTCCCTGGGGGCTCTGCCTTTCCCCACCCTTCCACCTGAAAGGTAAAAGACTTGGGTTCTTGGGCCCATTGCAGAGGTTAACAACTATAATTCTAGTCCCTTGGGAGGCCTAAGTGGGCAGACTGCTTGAGAGAGACCCTGCCTGGGCAACATGGTGAAACCTTGTTTCTACAAAAAATAAAAAACTTAGGCAGGTGTGCTTCTGCGCCTGTGGTTACAGCTACTCAGGAGGCTAAGCTGGGAGGATCACCTGACTGGGGGAGGTGGAGGCTGCAGTAAGCCATGATTGTACCAGCCTGGGTGACAGGGTGAGACCCTCTCTCAAAAAAAAAAAAAAAAAGACTGTGCTGGCACAGTGGCTCACACCTGTAATCTCAGCACTTTGAGAGGCTGAGATGGCCAGATCACTTGAGCTCAGGAGTTGAAGGCCAGCCAGGCAACATGGTAAAACCCTGTCTCTACGAAAAATACAAAACAATTAGCTGGGCGTGGTGGTACACACCTGTGGGACTAGCAGAAGGCTGAGATGGAAGGATCTCTTGAGCCTAGGAAGCAGAGGTTGCAGTGAGCCCAGATTGCACCACTGTACTCCAGCCTGGGTGACAGAGACCCCATCTCAAAAAAAAGATGGGTTCTCCCTACTATCTTGATTGAGTCCCTAAGTTTGGGACTCAATTTCCCTGTCTATAGGACAGAGAGCTTAGGATGGTCTCTGAAGTAGCGTCAGTGTGGACAGTCTGTGTAATCCTAGTTGGCATGTGGGAGATGGGAGGATGGAGCGGGGAGGCCCTCACATTGATGAGGACGTTTTATCTGGCGCCTGTTCCATCCCAGCGCTCTTCTATGTGCTGTCTCAGTGAATTCTTGCTGCAACCAGGTGTGGTTATAGCCTCATTTTATGCCAGACACCCAGCAGAGGCACTGGGAGCCCCAGTAGTGCACAAAGCCTGCACCCAGCCTGTACCTCTCCTTATCCTTGTCCCCAGCATTCCCGGCAGCACCCCATTCTCTCTCCCCAGGACTGCAGGATGCCGGCTGGAAGACCGAGAAGCACCAGCTAGAGGTGGACGAGTGGAGGGCCACGTGGCTTCTGTCTCCCGAAAAGAAGGTCCTGTGAGTGGCCCAAATGGAGGCCCAAGCCCAGGACAGGAGCCTGGAGCAAGGACACTTTGGCCACAGCAGAAGGGAGGGAAAGGCAGCTTTATTTTTCCTTAGGGCAACTGCAGTGGCTGGTGGGCCAGGCCCGCATGGGAAGTGACTGCCAATCAGATGCAGTGGGCCCCAGGCAGAGGAAGGCTGGGAGAAGGGGAGCCAGGACCTTCTTACCCCACTGCCCCTTTAGCTTTTCTGGGGAGCAGAGCAGGCTTCTCACCTCCACTTCCTGTGAGGCTGTGGCTTATGGTGTCTAACACAGTTGGCTTTAGGCATAGAAACCCCAGAGGAATACAGCCACTGCCATCATGAGCAGGGCATTGAGGTTGACCACACGGGCCCAGTTCGGGTCCTCGCTGATGTCCTCCAGCTGCCTGGCTGCTGCCACTACCTCCTCCTGGGTAGGGGGCGGAGGACTGCCCGCTCTGCCCCTGCTCATTCCACAAAACCAGAGCAGGCACTGGCGGAAGGGGCTAGGTGCCAGGGCCTGGGGCTCTGGGGAAAATTAAGGCCCTGCAATTAGTTCGAGGGAACTCAGCTCCCCCAGCCCCACCTCCCAGCATGGTGCCCTACCGTCCATCTCCATGGCACTCTCTGGGCACCCATTCTGTACAGGGAGTGAGGAGCTTTCCTGCTCATCAGCATCAAGGTCCTCCCGTTCCTCCTTGCTGTGCCGGAGACTGAAGACCAGGCGGTGGAGCTAGGGAGGGTGGGAGCCCAGATGAGGTGGGAGTTCTGTCCCTCTACACCTGCACACCAGGTTGTCACTGCCTGCCCTACCCACCTCTGTCCAGTCTGCACACCCAGCCCAGGTTCAGCTCTTGCCAACTCCACCCTACGTGGCTGCCCTGTGCCCTCGGTACAAACCCTGAGCCCCTGAGCTTGTGTTTAAAGTTGTTGGCTCTGCTCCCCCAGCTTCATCAGCTCAGGTCTCCTGTCTACACCCAGATGGTATCACTTGCGACCCTGGCCTGGCATTCCTGCTCACAGTGTTCTGTGTCTGTGTGCTCCCACCCTTTCCTCCTGCTACTGGGAATCCCAGCCATCCTTCCAAGCCAGGATCTCTTGACCTGCCCCCACCCCACCCTGCCACCATCAGCCCTGCCTAGAGCCACTGCCTTGTGGCAGCAAAACCAAACCTTTTTGTGGGCTTTCAAGATGGCATTGTGCCCCACCAGTCAGATCCTGTGTTTTGAGTCCCAAAGGCCATGCCAAGGATTGGCTTTGGGAGGCTGTAATCACCAACCCATCACATCTTCAAGTCGCCTCCCCCAGGCCAGTTCGAATAAATGAATTTAAATAAAAATGTGCTTGCTCTGCAATTGCAGCTGCAGCTGGACCCCCAGCCGGCTCCCAACCTTTAGTCTAGAAATTCAGGTCCTCCCCACTGGGCACTCCAGAAAGCCGAGGGCGGGTACGGGTGCAAGTGGTTGCTGTGGCCCACTTGTTTGGGACACCTGGCCGTCCAGAGGCAGACACTCACGTGCTTGCGGGGTATGGGTGCGGTGCATAGCGAGACCATGATGGTGAGGAGGCCGGAGCAGAGGAACAGAACGATGGCGAAGTAGAGGTAATGCACGCCGCAGAGGAAAGCCGGGCAGGCAGAGGGCTGCACGCAGCTTCCTGAGCCGAAGGAGAACTCGGGAATCATGCGTGCCAGGCCCATCAACAGGCCCCCGATGAGTCCCCAGAAGGCGCCCTAGGAGAGAGGTCAGCCAGCTCAGGATGTGCAAGCCCAGCCCCGCTGTCGCCACTCTCGCATGCCGCTCACCTGCTCATTAACGCGCGGCACGAAGAGCGCCATGACGAAGACGGCAGACACGGGCGGTGCCAGGTAGCTGGAGACGGCCTGGATGTAATCGAAGAGCTGCCCGCCCTGCGCCGCCTGCACCACGGGAAGCCAGGCCACCGACACTACCACGATGAACACCACCCAGAGCCTGCGGCGGGGACCGTCGGATGGAACCCTGGACCCTGGGCTCCCCTGAACCCTGCGCGTGCGAGCGCCCCCGCCCCGGACTGATGTGTAGGAGAGGAGGGAAGCCCAGGCCGCACCGTCCCACCAGCAGCAGCTCGCGGTTGCTGGCGCGGGGCCGCAGGCGAGTGTAGATGTCCATGGTGAAGAGCGTGCTGCTGCTGTTAAAGATGGAGGCCAGCGAGGACATGAGCGCGGCCAGCATGACCGCCAGCATGAGTCCGCGCAGACCTGCGGGCCGACGGTAGCTATCTTGTTGGAGCCACTAGGGGCCAGGACGGCTGCAGCTGCGCGAGGGACGACCCCTCCCAGCAGTGGGCTCCGCAGCGAGCTTGCGCCTGTGGACTGGGGACGCCCTCACCTCTGGGCATGAGCTGCACGACGAGCCGCGGGTAGGCGATGTTGGAGCAGCCCACCTCCGTGCCACACACGCGCCTGCACACCTCGGGTACCACGCACGCCACCTCATCTGCCGGAGAGAGGCCACCGCGCTGCTAGGACGGAGCCTGGTCTGGGAATCCCAGGAGGTGGGGGCTGGGAATCCTAGCAGAGCAGACGTGCGACCCCCGGAGGGAGGCGGGACTCCACTCCCAGACTCCCGAGTCGTAGAAGAGTGACGGAACTGGGAGACCGGCGCCCTGACGCTGGCACAGGACGGGCTGGACGGGGCCCAGGCCTTTCGGGTGGGGCGGGGCGGGGACGCGGATGTTACCCGGGTATAGAACGCGGCTGATCATTCCTGGCATGACCATGAGGAACATGGGCGTCAGCTTCAGGTACCCGCACAGAATGCAGCCCGCCTTGATGTGGGTCAGGCTCTTCCCGGCCAGACAGCGCTGCACGATGACCTGCAGGAAGGGCATTCAGCTGCCCGCGTACGGGCCTCTCCTCGGCCCGGCGCCGCGCCCGGTTTCGCTCTAATGTGTGCCCCGCCTCTGGCTCGGGAGTGCCCCAAGTTCAGCTGCGCATTTGGAGGAAGTTCCATCTGGCTTAGCGGCACTCTGGAGGGGTTCCCGCCCCTCAGACCGTGCCTTCGACCGGGGCAAAGGCGGGGAGGGGCTCAGGCTTCGCCCATCTCGGCTTAGCCCGGACCTCGCTGCAGGCGCAGCCCTGTCCCCCGCACCTGGTCGCTGCACCAGTACCAGCCCGAGACGATCGTGAGCCCCAGGAGCAGCGCGGGCCACGGCAGGTCCCCCGTCACAGGGTGCCGGAGCAGGTGGTAGGAGTCGGGCCGGGGTCGATAGCAAGAGCTGGAGATGTTTCCCACGGCCGGATCCTCGGACACCGTCAGCGAAGTCGCTGCTCCCAGGTATTTGTCGAAGAGACCCGAATACCCGCCCACCTCGTGGAAGGCTGCGGGGCAAGGCCGTCAGGGGACCCTCCTTAGGATCTTCAGGCCGGTGACGCGCGACTGCTCGGCGCGCGGGCTAAGAGCTCTGCCGCCGCCACCGCGCCCTCTGCGCCCTCCGCGCCCCTCCCGGGTGGGCGAGCCCCTACCGTAACCCATGAGGATGCAGGCGCCCCCTAGGATGACGAAGGTCTGCACCGTGTCCGTGTACATCAGCGCAGCCAGCCCTCCTGCAACAGTCCGGGGTCAGGGGACAGCCCAGCTGTTTATGTTACAGACAGGCTGGCCCTAGCAGGAAGGTGTCTTTGTGGGAATTTGAGAGAGTTCCCCTTTCTGGAAAATAAATTTCAAAATGATGGTCCATTCTCGGGACTCATGCACTCCGGGACCAGTAAGCAGGCCTTGTAAGCAGAGTGTGGCTGAGTTTTAGAGCCAGGCACCCACTTGCAGGACCCCCACCAGCAGGCCTCTCTAGGCCCTAGTTTTTTCTGCCTCATCATAGGAGAGAGTGATTCTTTAAGGTTCTATACTCAGTTCCGTATCTTATACTCAGTTCCATATCCTATACTCAGTTCCAAGGCCGGCACCTCAAGCCAGCCTTGGCATCAGGCCTCCCCTACTCTGGTCCGCATCTGACCTCAGGTGGGGTCCCTCTGAACCATGCTGGGTTTGGCCAGAGATCTCAGAGACTGGTCAGGTGTGCTCTCCAAGTGTTTAAGGCAGGCAAGAGCTGCTAAATCTTGCTTTTCTCCCAGTCCTCACTCAAGCCCAACACAGCTTCCTCTTTCTGAACTTCCAGCCAAAGTCCAAGAGACAGTGGAGAGGAAGGAAGCCTTTGCTTTCCAAAGATTTAGTTCCTTCTGCCTGGACCATGCCACATTTCCAAACCTCTCCAGCCCGCTTTCCTCTGGTGAATCCCTAAACCCCAGCCACAGCCGGCAGCCTTGTCCCAGGCCCACTCCCTTCCCTAAGCCCCTGCTGGCACCTGTCACCGTGTAAATCATGGTGATGCCCAGAAGTGCGATGACGGAGGCATAGATGTTCCAGCCCAGAGCCTGCTGGATGAATACAGCTCCAGAGAACATGTCCACCTTGGGGGAGGAGCAAGTTGCAGGTCAGGACCCAGGGCAGTGTCCTGGGCCACCTCCTGCCCAGGCCACCCCCTACTAGCCTCAAAGCTTCCCTCCATTTTTCCAGGTCCCAGCACTGTGGCTGGTGCCCTGGAGACATTCCTTGCAGGCTCTGCCTCCATCATCATGACCCTTGCAGCAGTTTCTCCTTCATCCCATGACCTCCAGGATTCTCTAGAGACCCCACTCGAGGCCCCGCCCTTCTAGGGCCCCATCCCGTCAGCCACGTGTACTCGCCGAGATCTTGGTGAAGATGTACAGGAAAAGGGAAAGCACAGACAGGTAGAGGCGGATGCGGCGGCCACCGAAGCGCTTGCGCAGGTACTGTGGCATCGTGATGACCCCTGCCGTCAAGTAAACAGGCGCAAAGAGCCAGCCCAGTAGCAGCACCACGAAGAGCGCCTGCGGGGGCAGCACAGCCGCTGAGAGTGGCTCTGCTCTCACCCCCGAGGATCTGACCTTCTCTTCGTGAAGGCGCTACTCCAATCAAGTGGCCCTGGAAAGGGCCACACCTGGGGCCCAAAAGACAAATGCAGGTGATGGCCCCGGGGCCTGGGCACTAAGGAACAGAGCTGACACTCTCCTGGTCTTAACTGGAGCTCTCCTTGTCTCTCCAGGCCATCACTCCTGGCCTGTTTCTCCTAATGTTGTCCCATCTAGATATGAACCCCAGTATAGACCCTTCAGACTGACCCCAGCCAAAGCTACCCAAACCTTGTGCTCCCCAAGGCTCAGCTCAGAGGCCACCTCCTCCAGGAAGCCCTGAGCTCAAAGCCGTCTCTCCAAGGGGAGCCGCAGTCCCAGAGCTTTATCTGTGCTCCTCGCTTCTGCAAAGTGCTTTAACTTGGCCCAGAATTCCTCGAAGGCCACAGCTTCAGAGTGCATCCCAACAGGTGCTTCTCTGGCTTTGATGCTGCCCACTCCACTCAGAGAGGAGTAGATGGAGGGTCCCAGAAGCAGTGGCTGGTGCAGGCTGGCTCAGATGGGTCAGGAGCAGGACCTAGCCCTGCCCCGACAGTGGTCACCCCTGCACCCCTCTGCCTCCCGGCTGGATGTGTGACCTCCACTCCCAGCCCGACCACACCCCTCTGTTCAGAAGTCCCACTGCCAGTCTCATTTCCCATTTCCTGGAGCTTCCCCAAGGTGTGACCCTTCCAGGGATTCTTGCTGGAGGTGGGATTATTGGGAAAAAGGGGCCTCACATTCCACTCGAATCCAGCCACAGCCAAGCCACTTGCAGCGCCAGTCCCTGCCAGGCCCACAAAGTGGCCACTGCCAATGTTGCTGGCGAAGAGAGAGGCCCCAACCTGGGTGGCCAGAGGAGAGGGTGAGCGGGGCTGCTTCTCCAGGCCCCCTCCCATTCCCAGCCCAGCCAGTCTCACCGGCCACCACACCATGCTGCGTCCAGCCAGGAAGTAGCCACTCACGGTGCCTCTGTTGGTTCTGCACATGGACTGGGAGACAGAGGCGGGGGGAGACCTGGGTTTGGGGCACAGCCTCAGACCTCATTAGCCACCTCATCACATTCCTCAGCCTTGTTTCAGGCTGAAGATTAACCTGCCAAGCTTCCCTGATCATTTGTACACCCCCAACTTCTTCCAGACACTCGGGCAACCCAGGTTCTAATCCCAGTGTCTCATTCCCCAAATCTTTTCACATATTTTTCCTTTTTCTTTTTATTTATTTTCATTTTTTGAGACAGAGCCTTGTTCTGTTGCTCAGGCTGGAGTGCAGTGGTGTGATTTCGGCTCACTGCAACCTCCATCTCCCAGGTTCAAGCACTTCTCATGCCTTAGCCTCCCAAGAAGCTGGGATTATAGGCATGCATCACCATAACCAGCTATTTTTTTTTTCTTTAATATATTTTAGTAGAGACACAGGGTTTTACCATGTTGGCCAGGCTGGTCTCAAACGTCTGGCCTCAAGCAATTCACCCACCTCGGCCTCCCAAAGTACTGGGATTACAGGAATGAACCATCATGCCCCGCCAACATCTTTTTTTTCTTTTTAGAGACAACGTCTCGCTCTGTCTCCCAGGCTGGAGTGCAGTGGTATGATCATAGCTCACTGCAGCCTTGAACTCTTGGGCTCTAGCAGTCTTCCCACCTTGGCCTCTGAGTAGCTGTGACTACAGGAATACACGCCACCATGGCTGGCTAATTTTTCTCTTCTCTCTCTTTCTCTTTCTTTCTTTCTTTCCTCCCTTCCTTCCCTACCTCCGTCCCTCCTTCCTTTCTTTCCTTTTCTTTTCTTTCCTTCCTTCCTTCCTTCCTTCCTTCCTTCCTTCCTTCCTTCCTTTCTCTTTCTTTCTTTCTTTCTCTTTCTCTTTCTTTCTTTCTTTCCTCCCTTCCTTCCCTCCCTCCGTCCCTCCTTCCTTTCTTTCCTTCTTTTCTTTTCCTTCCTTCCTTCCTTCCTTCCTTCCTTCCTTCCTTCCTTCCTTCCTTCTCTCCCTCCCTCCCTCCCTCCCTTCCTTCCTTCCTTCCTTCCTTCCTTCCTTTCTTTTCTTTTCTTTCTTTGAAACAGGGTCTCATCCAGGCACAGTAGCTCACACCTGTAATCCTAGCACCTTGGGAGGCAAAGGCAGGAGAATTGCTTGAGCCTAGGAGTTCGAGACCAGCCTGGGCAACACAGTGAGACCACCTACCCACTTAAAAATCAATACATTTTTTAAAATAAAAAAGAGATGTGGTTCACCATGTTGGCCAGGCTTGTCTCAAACTCCTGGCCTCAGTGATCCCCCTGCCTTGGCCTCCCAAAGTTCTGGGATTACAGGTGTGAGCCACTAGTCCCATCCCAACTACTCAGGATTTATCGTGTGTGGATTTGGTCTGATCTTGCTGGGGGCCTTGCATATTTTGTGCTGGTCAGCCATAAGTGGCCAGGGGAATGAGACCCCATTTAGAATATTGACCCTGAAAAAAATCCATGGACCCCTTCAGCTAGCACAGTCCCAAGGTAGGCAGACAAGGAAGGAATGTTGGCTGGGCCTCCCTGAGGCCCTCCAAAGACCTACTTGTCCCCAGGCCTGGGTTTGTCCTTCAAAGATACAAGCATCCTTCCCCCACCTAGGGTCCCCTTGAGACTTTTCTCCTAGGCCCCAGAAGCCAGCAGCCCCCAGCAGCACCCCCTCAACTTCTCACCCACAAGCCAACACCGATGACCAGCAGGAAATATGCAGCGATGACTAGGATGTCAGCAGGATTGTTGATCAGAGCCCTCTGGGCTCCCAGCTCTGGTGCCGAGCCTGCCTGTGTGTGCTCCTCCATGCTCCCCAGGATCTGCCCCATCCAGGGACAAGCCCCTGGATTCCCCCAGGGGAAGGATTAATGGTTACCTCAGGGGCACTGAGCCGACAAGTCCCCCAGGTCTTGTCCCTGCTCCCCAGCTTTGTTTAGCTGAATCAGGTCATATCAAGGCCAAAGGCTGGTCCTGGGGAGCTGGGCCCTTCCAGGTTCAAGAGCACTCCTTCCCAGGCCTTAGCCTCCACCCTCTCCCTGTGCCCCAGGCTCAAAATCACCTCTTTTACTCCCTAAAAATGCATCACTTCCTTCTTGTGTAAGCCAGCACCCCTGGATTTACCTAATCCAGAGGAATCATTTTCAAATCCAAGTCTGACAGGGTCACTCCACCCTCCTCAGGAACCCTCCATAGCTCCCTATCATACTCAGGAGGAAGTACAAGCCCTTCAGCCTGATTTCCAACATCTGCCATGCCCCAGTTCTTCCTCATCCTTCCCCTGCTTCTCCAAACCAAATCTACAGGAAATCAGAAATCCCTTCCCACTCCCTTAACCTACCCAGCCCAGATTTTTGCTTTTTGCTTTTTTTGCCTGGATATTTTCATCCCACCAAATCCTTGCATAAGCTGTATCTTTTGTTTCGAGTGCTTCCCTGCCTCCCAAATGACAAACTCCTACTCAGCTTTCAGTACCCAGCCTTTGTCACCTCTTCAAGAAAGACTTCTCTGACATTTTTTTTTTTTGAGACAGAATCTCATTCTGCTGTCAGTCTGGAGTGCAATGGCGCGATCTCGGCTCACTGCAATCTCTGCCTCCCAGGTTCAAGCAATTCTCCTGCCTCAGCCTCCCAAGTAGCTGAGACTACCGCCACTGTGCCTGGCTAATTTTTGTATTTTTAGTAGAGACGGGGTTTCACCATGTTGGCCAGGATGGTCTCAATCTCCTGACCTCATGATCCGCCTGCCTCAGCCTCCCAAAGTGCCGGGATTACAGGCGTGAGCCACTGTGCCTGGCCTTCTCTGACATTTTTGATGCAGTTCTGTGCACACTTCATGGTCCTTGCCTGGGTCCAGGTCTGCCTCCTCAGCAAACTAGAGAGTCCTCAAGAGCAGGATTGGCTAGGTGTGGGGGCTCATGCCTGTAATCCTAGTGCTTTGAGAGGCTGAGGCAGGGGGATCACTTGAGCTCAGAAACCAGCCTGGGCAGCAGAGTGAGACCTCATCTCTTAAAAAATAAATAAAAATTTAAACGAGCAAGACTTATCTGATTCATCTCTGGAGTCTCATTGCCCAGCGCAGGACTGGATTCAAGAAGGGAGAGGCTGGTTAATATCTGTCTGTACGTCTCCCTTTCTAGAAGAATTGACCAGACTTGGATGTCAGGAGACAGCCAAAGGGAAGTCCTGCCTGATTATGGTAGCTGTGGTCATCCGGAGCTGGGGAACAGAGAAAAAGACTTCTGGGTGGGAGTGTAGTTGAAGGAGTACTTAGATTGGGTTCCTCTAAAAGGAGACCCTGAGATGAGAATTTGTGTACAGTGACTTTCCAGAGGAGGTGATTCCAGTATGGACGTCGAAGGAGTAGAGAAAAGAAATAAACAAGGAGAAGAGCGGGCACAGTGGTGCACGCCTGTAATCTCAGCACTTCGGGAGGCCGAGGCAGGCAGATCAAGAGGTCAAGAGATAAGAGACCACCCTGGCCAACATGGTGAAACCTTGCCTCTACTAAAAATACAAAAACTAGCTGAGCAAGATGGTGCGTGCCTCAGGAGGCTGAGGCAAGAGAATTCCTTGAACCCAGGAGGCGGAGGTTGCAGTGAGCCGAGATTGTGCCACTGCACTCCAGCCTGGTGACAGAGCGAGACTCTGTCTCAAAAAAAAAAAAAAAAAAGGAGAAAAGCCAATAAAGCATGTGTTTTTTTCTTTTAAGATGGGATCCCACTCTGTCGCCAAGGCTGGAGTATAGTGATGTGATCACGACACACTGCAGCCTCGACCTCCTGGGCTCAAGGGATCCTTCCACCTTAGTTTTCCAAATAGCTGGAATTTACAGGCACACTGGGCTGATTTTTGTATTTTTTATAGAGATGGGGTTTCACTATGTTGCCCAGGCTGGTCTCAAAACTCCTGAACCAAACTGCCTCGGCCTCCCAAAGTGCTGGGATTACAGGCGTGAGCCACCGCGCCTGGCATGAGGGTGTGTCATTTAACAGGTTACCACCAAGAGCAGTTGGAGCCTGATCCCAAAACGGGGACTCTGAGACACTGTGCAGAACACACGATAGCAGTGATCCTTCAGGGGCCAGGTGGTTGGGGTATTTATTTCCCAATTTGTATCTGTCACTGGCTAAAAGCTGCAGAAACACCCACACACACTTCAGGCCTGATGGGAACACGGGGCACACTCCCTCCTCCTGAGAGGAGCCTCAGACAAGAAACCCCCGGAAGGAGCTGCAAGTCACGGTGTCTGGAAACTGTATATGATTCCAAGGTGGGCCATGCAGATATAAGGGTGACGCACCCGCAGTGTCTGCCTCAAGGGGTGATGAGTTTAAAGTGCCTGAAAGAAATCCAGCACCAAGTGTCAGAGGACACGCGTGTGCTGCAGACAGTTCAGATGAGGTCTCTTCACCACAGCCACCATGTGACATCTCCTTCCTCTTTGGCCTCACCCCCTCCTGCTCTCCCCATTTCTGGCTCCAATCCAGCCACAGTGGCCTTTTCTTTCTTCCAAGGCATCAGACTCTCCTCCCTGTCCTTTGCACCTGCTGCCTATCTGCTGGGAATGCTCTCCTTGGCGCTTTGCATGGCTCCTTCTCAACTTTCAGCTCTTAGCCAAGACCTTACATTTCACTACCTGGTGAAAGTAAACTCTTCCCACCTCCTCTACCTTAATTCTCTATTTCATCCTTTGTACTCTCTTTCCTTTCTTCCTGGTTCCTTTCTTCATTAACAAACACGTATGGAGACCAGCTATGTACTGGACCTTGTTCTAGAATCAGGGAGAAAATGGTCAGCAAAACACATGCACTGCCTGCTCTTGGGAGCTTCTGTTCCAGTTGCAAAGTCAGATGGAAGCCTGGGGCCAGGCACGGTGGCTCATGCCTGTAACCCCAGAAATTTGGGAGGCTGAGGCAGGGGAATCACCTGAAGTCAGGAGTTTGAGACCAGCCTGGCCAACATGCTGAAACGATGTCTTTCATAAAATTATAAAAATTAGCCAGATGTGGTGGTGCATGCCTGTAATCCCAGCTACTTAGGAGTCTGGGGCAGGAGAATTGCTTGAACCTGGAGGTTCAACCTCAGGAGGCAGAAGTTGCAGTGAGCCAGGACTGTACCACTGCGCTCCAACCTGGTGAGACTCTGTCTCGAAAAAACAAAAACAAAAACTTCTACTTGCAAGAGAGCTGTGTGCTAGGAAGGAACTAGGGAGCGGCCGTGGTACGGAAACCAGGGAAGGGTTGGCTTTAGCTAGGCAGTCAGGAAGGTCCCACTCCTTCATCATATGTGTCACTTTTGTATTTGCCTGTCATCTGTCTCCCCTACTAGACTTCAGCTCCCTGAGGGCAAGGGGCATAGCTGCTTGGTTCCCCATTGTCTCCCCAGAGGCTGGCACAGGAGTGCTCAATAAATATTTGGTGAATGAATGAATGCCAATTTGGGCATCCTCAAGATAGAGAAGTGGTTACATGCCAGAGGGACATTCTTTGGACAGTATGTGGAAGGGGAAGAGCAGGAGACCAGGGAAGACTACAGGAGAGGAGCCTCAGAGAGGAAGTGATTGGAGGGGGCCTGACAGAGGCTGGGGCCAAGGACACCTCACCTTTTCCTGGTGCCCATACATGGTCTCTGCAGCTGCCAGCTCTTCCTGATGAGCTGGAAAGGCCTCTGAGGACCCATCATTTCCAGCACCAGAGGTCCCTAGAGTCTGGACCCAGGGGGTCACCCTGGGACATGGGGACTTACATGGAACCTGAACTTCTCCACACCTGAAACCCCTGGCCCCATCCTCTACACCTGAAAACCCCTGGCCCCATCCTTCTCTGCTGGGACTTGGCTCAGGTCCCAGGTATCAACTCCTCCAGGAAGCATCCCTTAACTCCCAATCTGGGTTAGAAGCCACCTTCTGGCTTCTATAGCTCCCAGTGCTTCCCTCAGTCACACCCTGGCCACACCAAGTGTCATCTTCTGCCCAAGTATTTGCCTTTTCAGCCTGGGGCTCTCCAGAGCAGTGAGCCTGACTCATCTCTGGACTCAGCACCACCCAGCACAGGGCTAGGCCAGGAGAAGCCTCAGATGGTGGCAGATTGAGCAGTAGAGACAGTAAGTAATGGCTCTAGACACAATGATTGTTCTGCCTTGACTGGGACACCTGAGGGTGGGAGTGAGAAAGGGTTAATTTGGGGCCATGACTACAAAAAACATGCAGGTGATCCAAGATGTTGTGGGTCAACAGTAAGAGGGAAGTTGTACCTTAGTGCCCAGAACCAAAAGGTGGGCACAGCTGGCACTCTGCATACAGCTCCAGCCCTAAAGGCCCTTTAATAGGGGAAAAAATCTGGGAACCAAAGGCAGTGCAGGAAGGGGAAGAGATTAAGTGCTTCTTTCTCTCTCTCTCTCTTTCTCTCTCTCTCTCCTCTCTCTTTCTTTCTCTCTTTCCTTCCTTCCTTCCTTCTTTCTTTCTTTCTTGACAGAGTCTTGCTCTGTCGCCCAGGCTGGAGTGCAGTGATATAATCTTGGCTCACTGCAACTTCTGCCTCCCGAGTTCAAGCGATTCTCCTGCCCCAGCCTACTGAGTAGCTGGGATTACAGGCATGTGCCACCAAGACCAGCTAATTTTTGTATTTTTAGTAGGGATGGGGTTTCACCATGTTGGCCAGGCTGGTCTCAAACTCCCGACCTCATGATCCACCCACCTCGGCCTCCCAAAGTGCTGGAATTACAGAGGTGAGCCACCATAAGCGCTAATTTCAAGACTATAGGGAGGGACAGTCACCGTGGCTCACACCTGCACTCCCAGCACTTTGGGAGGCCAAGCGGCAGACCGCTTGAGCGCAAGGGTTCGAGGTTGCAGTGAGCTATGGCACCAATGCACTCTAGCCTGGGAGACAAAGTGAGACCTCATCTCTTAAAGCAAAACAAAACAAACAAAAGAATAGAGCTGAAGAAGGATGAGGGCGGGAAGATTCTGTGGGGTCCCAGTTGAAGCTCTTGTCCTGGTTCTGCCACTATCTGTACAGTCCTGCGTGGGTCGCTGCCCTTTCCAGCCTCAGGCTCATCTGATACTTGAAATAGGAAGTGCAGAAGCGGCCACCTGCAAGGGCTGAGGCTGCAGATCCCGCTGCGGCCACGGGGCAGTGGCCTAGAGACGGCCAGGGAGGGAGCCAGCGCGGGGGCGGGGCGTCAGGGCCAGGCTCCTGCGCGCATTCAGAGACAGCACCAGGGAGACGTGGAATGGGTGTGTTTATGTAGGTAGAAAAAGTGCACAGAACAGTGAGGGTGCAGGGAGCAAGGACGTCCTGGCCTGGCCTCGGATTCGCTGGAATTGCAAGGACTTTCCCCTAGTCAGGGGGCTCCCTCAAGGGTGGGAATAGAGTGGAGGCTCGCGCGGGAGCTCTCCGTGTGGGATCCACTTTGGGGGCTTGTGGGTTTAGGTCTGGGTGGGCCTTTTCTGAACTTGACCCCCCGAGGACTCAGAGTACCTTAGGGGCGGGGCTCTCCATTTGGTGGGGCCTCACGCTCGGAGATCAAGGCCTCAGGGTCTAGAGGACCCGGCTTCCGGGAGGGCGCGGCCTCCGGGGGAGGGGGCGAGCCCGGCGGGCTGTCAGCCGAAGAGCTTCAGGAAGCAGGGCTGGCAGTAGGGCTTGCCGGCGCGCTCCTGGAACGAGCCCTTCGTGAGCGGGCGCAGGCAGAAGGTGCATGTGAAGTGGTCCGGATGGAAGCGGCGGCCCAGAGCCGACACGCAGCGGCCGGTCACGGGGAGGCCACACGTGGCGCACAGCGAGCCGCGCCGTGCGTGGAAGTGGTTTTCGCACAATGGACGGCCCTCGTGCTCGAAAAAGCTGCCTCCCGAGAAGGGAGTGAAGCATTCCTGGGGAAGGGAGGCCGCGAAAGAGTACAGACAGGTCAGCGGCCGGAGCCCCAGCCAGACGACGGGTGTTACTATCGAATAAGTACGGGGAGCCCGCAGCCGGCCCTAAACGCGAAGCCACCTGACCCTGCCCGGAAAATTCGCCCCACCCGAGGCACCTGGCAGCGCCCCACCCGAGGCACCTGGCAGCGCCCCTCCAAGGCCCCGCCCCACAGCCCTGCACCCTTGACCCGCCCTTCTCAAGGCTCCGCCCCATAGCGCACACCTTTAACCCGTCCCTCCAAGGCTCCACCTCACAGCCCTGTACCCTTACCGCTCCTCCAAGGCCAGGCCTCACGGCCCTGTACCCTTGAGTCGCCCCCCAAGGCCCCGCCCCGCAGCCCTGCACCCTTGACACGAGCCCCGCCCCACAGCATGCACCTTTAACCCGCCCCTCCAAGGCCCTACCCCATAGCCCTGCTCCCTTGACCCTCCCCTCCAAGGCCCCGCCCTATAACCCTGCACCCTGGACCTCCCCTCCGAGGCCCCGTCCCCCCGGGCTCACCCGGCAGACGAAGCAGTCCGGGTGCCAGAGCGCGCTGAGCGCCGAAATGTAGTTATCCAGGATGGGGCCCTGGCAGCCCTGGCAGCGCGGGGCGAACAGCTGCAGGAAGTCCCGGCGGCAGTAGGGGCGGCCCTCGCGCTCGTGGAAACCTAGGAGCGGGAACCTAGTGGGCTGAGAGCAAAGGGTGCGAGCGGGACGGGGGACCCAGGAGACCTGAAATCTGGGGTCGAAGAAGGGGCAGTCCGAGGGAGCCGTGGGGAAGGAGGAGCCGGGTCTAGGCCAGGGTAGAGGGGGAGAGCTCGGGTTTGGAGCCTGTGAGAGAGAGGCAGGGCCAGAAGAGAGCAGGAGGAAAACCAATGCCCGGAGGACTCCGGAGGTCAGAGGGGCGGGGGCGAGACGTCGAGGGGACCCGCAGCTTTTAAGGTGGGAGTCGAGTCCACTCACCCTCATCTCCGAAAGGCTCCCCGCAACTGACGCAGCAGAAATGCTCTGGGTGCCAGTGGGTGCCCAAGGCGGTCACCATCTTCTGCAGGGAGGGAGAGAACACTCAGCGCGGCCTCCGTGCCTTCGCGCCGTCCTCTCCCGCGCAGAACCCGGGTGACTGGCCTAAGGCATGCGTGGAGGTTGGGGGGAAGGTCTAACTAGGAAGTGGGGATCAGAAAGGAATAATGGAGTCCAAGGGGCCGTAGACGTTGCCAAAGGGTAGGGGTAGGGTGGGGTAGTGCGAGTGGGGCGGGACCCATGCGGAGGAGTCCCGTCCCACAGCTTTCTGGGTGAGACCCGGCGGGCTCACTGTGGCGGGGCGGGGCTCACGTGTCGGATGGGTTGGTTGCAAAAGCCACATCGTGGGGAGAAGCGCTCGAAGTAGCACTCGGGGCAGAAGGGGGCTCCATCCTTCTCGAAGAAGCTGCTGCCTCCCAGGGCGGTGGAACAACCTCCGCAAACGAAGTGCTCGGGGTGCCAGGCGCGGCCCAGAGCCGTCACCACCTGTGAGTGGGAGATGAGGCGGGGTCAGAGCGGCTCTGACGGCCACATGCTCAGTGAGGCAAGGTTTACACGACGTTTTTCGAGTCTCTGAGCGATCAGAATGAAGGATTCAGTGTTCCAAGATCGCGCAGCCTGAAAGCGATGGAGATCCAACTCCGGTCTTCCAGCTGCGCTCCATTATTGACCTCTACATGAGGCACACTAGGGGCAGCACCTGGAGCCCATAATACGTTTAGGGGCCCATACAAACGTTTTAATTTTTTAAAATCAGAATAAGGCCAGACTGGGTGGCTCCCACTTCTAATCTTTGGGAGGCTGAGGTGAGAGTATTGCTTGAGCCCAGGAGTTTGAGACCAGCCCGGACAACATGGTGAAACCCCATCTCTACAATAAATAAATAAAATTAGCCAGGCGTGGTGGCTGGCACCTGTAGTCCCAGCTACTCAGGAGGCCAAAGTGGAAGGATTGCTTGAGCCCAGGAGAGAGATGCTGCAGTGAGACACAATTGCACCACTGCACTCCAGCCTGGGTTACAAAGTGAGACTTCGTCTCTAAATAAATAAATAAGAGGGTGGGAGTGAAAAAATCAGATTTTAAAAATTCGGAATAAAAAAATTAACTGGAAAAAAATGCTTTAATATATAATAATAACATATCTATTTTTATACCAACACAGGCATAAAAAACTATTTTAATGGACAAAGGGATCCATGAAGATGAAAGTGCCTATGATCCACAAGAGTTACAATGTCACCCTGCTTTGCTGAGATGGGCAATCCTACACTGGGAGTCAGGTACTTAATCTAGCAGGAGGAACTAGGTTAACTGCTATGCACAGCTGTTGTCAATCACATCTGCTCAGTCACTAAGCAAAGGACCAGCGACCCCAGTCCAGACTCTGATGGAGGAAAACAGAGTCTTTGTAGATGTGTGAGAGATTGTGGGTGAAGCCACTGAGTGTTTTGTGAAGATCAGAGGAGATGTGGGTTTGTAAAAGAGATGGCATAGTGCCTGGCACACAGTAGGACCACAATAAATGGTAAAATGGTTGGAATTTTCACCCTACCACTAACCTGCTGTTTGGTTCAGAGCTTCGGTTTTCTCATCCATAAAATATAAGCAACAATGATACCCACTTCCCAGAGTTACTTATTTAAAAGAACAGCATAAAGCCTGGCTCTCAGTAATATGGGTCTGTGACCAGTCTCTGCCTTGCTTCTCACAAGGCTGCACTTACTTGTCCAGCAATAGGTTTATTGCAGGAGCCGCAGAGGCCCTTGGCCTGGGTGGGAACGCCCCGGCGGCTGAGGTCAGACTGCAGCAGCCCCAGCATGGTGTCTAGGCTGCCCTTGCCAGTCGGCTCTGGTGGGGATGGGGAGCCCTCATTCATGGAGCTTGCAACTGGTGCCTGGGTTGGCCCAGAGGCTGGAAGCTGCAGCAGGGAGGACAAGAGAGTTGAGTTAGCAAGGCAGCAGATGTGGAAGAGTCTAGAAGGGGTTGGGGAGCTACAAATGGACACTGGCCCACTGTCCAACTCACGTGGTTTTGAACGCGGAAGTCAGAGAGTGAGGCCATCAGTCTATCCAACTCCAGAGTGGCTGAGGTGGCGGAAGGCTTTGGGAGGCCAGGAGATGGGCTGGAAGAGCTGTGAAGAACATGCTTGTGTTATCTCAGAGCCTCCCAGAGTAATGCTCCCTCTAGGGACTCAGACATCCAGGACCCATCTCTTCTCAGCCCTGACAATGACGTCAAACTCACAGGCTGGGTCTTTTCTTGTCTTCAGACTGGTCTTCCTTCTGCTCTCCTGAAGCCACCTTGCTAGATGGGAACTGGGACATGATTTCATCTGGAGAGAGGAGAGGAGGATGCTGCACATAAGGCCACGCTCAACCCACTCTCCCACTTGAGGCTTTAGGTCCCTTTAACTGCTGCTCTAGGAAGTGTATTCCCCTTAGTCCCTGCCCTGCTCTTCCCTCTCCTCCCCCCATCCAATCAAGTCCTCTCTCAGTCACCCTGGTACCTGTGATGTTGAACTGGGTGGCATTAAGTTCCTGAAGCAACCGATCTAGCTCACAGAGTCCAGTACCCAAGACACCACTGGAAGAGGAGAATGGAGGGGCCGCCGGGGCTGCAGGCTTTGGGGACCGAGGCTTGCATACCGTGCTGGGAAGCAGAGTGGGAGCCTGGGTTCAGGGGTGGGGATTCCAAGCCTCCTCACCTGAGTTTCAGTTGGCCCCCTATGCCCCAGTTGCCAGGCTCCTCACCTGTACAGGTGGTCCTTGTCCCCCGAGGCTCCTGAAGTCTCCCCAGACCCTGTCTACAGAGCAGAGACGAACAGGTGGGATGACAGGTCAGCACTCTGCCCCACTCAGGCTGAGATCCCCATAGCTTAGGCCAAGCTTGGCCCTAGTGGCTGCCCCAGTCCCCAGCATCCGATCTCACCTGTGGCTGGTGGCCATAGGGTGGGGGAGGGGTGAGAGGCTCTGTAGGGTGCTCTTTGGGAGCCCCTGACCTTGGCATGTGTGAGGTGGTGGTCTCCAGATCAGAGAGCAGGGCGTCTGCAGGGAGAAGCCATGGGAGAGAGGCAAGGGTCATGATTAGATCAGAAGGTAAGGTTCCCAGTGGGCAGTACCATAGAAGGACAGAAGCCAGTATTAAGACCAGAGGTCACAGGGCCAGACCCAGACAGAGCACTGATCGAAGGGTAGCAAGGAACATTTATGACCAGAACATCTCAGTTGCTCAGGCTGGGAGCCAAGCAAAAACCCAGTCTCCTGATTCTTTTTTTCCTCTCCATCTTCTCTGATACAGTCAAAATGGGCTCTTCACTCAAGTCAAACTTGGCTCCCCTCCAAATTGCTCCATTGGCCCCATGCCTGACCCCAGCTTTCTGACTGGACGCTCTCTTCCACGCTCTCTAACTCCTCCCACTACCTACACAGATCCCGCCCAGCCTGGCCACTCCCAGGCTCCTGAGTCCCGCCCGGCGCTCCTTACTAGCGCTTCGCTGGAACCTGCTTTCTGATTGGCTGCTTCTCCGCGGTACCGTGTCAGTTACCCCTACCCAGCAGCGCCCTCTACCGCCGGGGGCAGGAAGCCCCTCTCTCCCGTGGAGCGCACAGCCTTCCAGCCCCAGGCTCGGCAAACAGGAAGGACGAGATACCTATGTCCCCATTCCTGACAAGACACCCCCCTCCATCCCTGCATCCCCAGACGGGTCCTTTGAGCCCTTTCCCTTCCAGAACCCAGAAGTCCTGCCTTCAGTCTTCGTCCTGAGCACCCGCGTGAAACCCTGAAGCCCTCGCGGGCTCCTAGGCCCTCCTGGGCTACTATTCTCTTCCTTGCCTCAAGGACCTGACCCCACCGGTGCTCAGGAGCCCGTAACTCCTCTTCCAAAACCCTGGCGCAGGCAGGCCCGCTTTTTCTCCAAAACTTGATGCCAGACTTTCCCGTGCCGTCTACTTTCCGGGTCCCCGGGCCGAGGTCCCTTTTACCCCTCCCTCTCCAGAGCCCCGCGCCGGGGGCCCGCGGGCGCCGCACCTCCTTTTCATCCGCCGCAGCCTGGGATGGAGGAGCGGAGCGAGAAAAGAAGGGAGGGAGCGGCCGGCCCAGGAAAGGCAGGAAGGGAGAGGCAGGAAGGGGGACGTGGAGTTGGAAAGGAGGCGCGGGCAGAGGCGAAAAGCAGGAGCTAGAAGACAGGGATGGGAAGATGCGGGAGTGCGACGGCGGGGAGGCAGATCTGGGCAGCGGTGAGGGGCCGCGGACCCGGGGATCCGGCCCCACTCACCCAGGTCCTCCATGGCGGGGCGCGGGCGGGTGGCGCGGGGCGAGCAGGGCGGGGGCCGTGTCCGGTGGGGGCGGGGGGCGGGGGACGTCCGGGAGCTGGAAGCCCGGCCGTGACCATGTAAGGAAGCCGGGACCCGCTGGGATAGGGATTGGGGGGGTGATGAACGGGGGAACCCGGAGTGGGGGCGTGGAAGGGAGGGAGCGCCCCAGCCCACCCGAGCCCAGCCCGCCGGCCTGCCGCGGAGGCGGCCACACCCCAGCCTTGGCCTCAGCTGCAGGGAGCCCCAGGCGGCCAGAGCCAGAGAGAAGTGGCTCCTCCAGACCAAGCCCTAGAGCAGCTGCCTAGGGAGACTTACAGACACAGACTGAGGCCCCCAAGCAGACACACCGCAAAGCCAGCGCCTGAGTCCTAGACAGAGGCCCCCTCACACCCATGCCATTCCTGGGAGACTTGTCCCAGAAGGAATTTTTGGATTGGTAGCAGGAGTGATGTTCTAAGGCTCAGTTGGACTGCAGGTTCAGAGACCTTCCCATTGGAGGCACTGACAGATAAATAGAGGCCCCAAGAGGCATATAGACCAGACACAAAAAAATATCTCAGCGACGGGGACAGACATAGTGAACCCACCCACAGACTCTACAATAGGACCTTTCCTCCAAGACTTGGTCACAGACACAAACCCAGAAGCAAGCCTCTTGCAAATTCAGGGAAAACACTCCTAGACAAGGCTTCCACAGCCAGCCTGCAAGACAAAGCCCTTCCCCAACACTGAGGTAGCCCAGGCCTGCTCCGAACAGCCCTTTCCCAAGTTACTGATGAATTCAGGGCAGAAAGCAAGACACAGTCTCCAGCCACAAAGTAGGAAGGCCTTCCCTGGACTGAGACCCTGGGAAACAAGGTGGAAACTAGAGGCTCTAGAGGTGATTATGGACAGACAACTCTCCTGGACAGATCTGAGCACTGGACTGTGTGTCTCAACTCAGGAGCAAATCAGAACAACCTGAGATTTTTTAAATGCCAGACAGGCAAGGTGGCTCACACCTGTAATCCTAGCACCTCAGGAGGCTGAGTAGGGCAGGTCAGTTGAGGTCAGGAGTTCGAGACCAGCCTGGCCAACATGACAAAACTCCGTCTCTATTAAAAATACAAAAATTAGCCAGGTGTGGTGGCAGCCACCTGTAATGCCAGCTACTTGGGAGGCCGAAGCTTGAACCCTCAGCCTGTAGGCAGAGGCTGCAGTGAGCCAAGATTGCGCCACTGAACTGGGTGACAGAGGAGACCCTGTCTCAAGAATAAAAAAGAAAAAATAAAATGGGCAAATGACCAAATAAAATGGGCAAAATAGACAGTTCAAAGAAGTTATATAAATGGCCAATAATTACATGAAAAGATCCTCAACATCATTAGTCCCCAGAGAAATGCAAATCAAAACCACAATGAGATGCCACACCATACCTATTAGGATGACGATAATAAAAAACACAGATAATTAGGCCAGGAGCAATGGCTCACACTTGTAATCCCAGCACTTTGGGAGGCTGAGGTGGGCAGATCACCTGAGGTCAGGAGTTTGAGACCAGCCTGGCCAACATGGTGAAACCCAGTCTCTACTAAAGACAAAAAAAAATTAGCTGGGAATGGTGGTGGGTGCCTGTAGTCCCAGCTGCTTGGGAGGCTGAGGCAGGAGATTCACTTGAACCTGGCAGGCAGAGGTTGCGGTGAGCTGAAATCACACCACTGCACTCCAGCCTGGGCAACAGATGGAGACTCCATTTCAAAAAAATAATAATAATATTTTAATGGCCGGGCTTGGTGGTTCATGCCTATAATCACAGCACTTTGGGAGGCCGAAGAGGGCAGATCACTTGAGATCAGGAGTGGTAAAGACCAGCCTGGTAAACTTTGTTGAAACCTGGTCTCTACTAAAAATACAAAAATTAGCTGGACATGGTGGCAGGAACCTGTAATCCCAGCTACTTGGGAGGCTGAGGTAGGAGAATCACTTGAACTCGGGAAGCAGAGGTTGCAGTGAACAGAGATTGCACCATTGCACTCCAGCCTGGGTGACAGAGTGAAACTCCAACTCAAAAAGAAAAAAAAAACCCCAGATAATTAATGAGTTTTTATGAGGATGTGGAGAGATTGGAACCCTCACACATGGCTGGTTGGAATGTAAACACAGTTATATGATCCAGCAATGTTGCTTCTAGATATGCAACCAAGAGAAATAAAAGCATATTCCACATAAAACTTGTGCATGAATATTCATAGCA